AAGTGAAACGGGGAGGGAAAGGGGGGGGGGGGGGGTCGAAATATAGTAGAGGGGAATGGGAGAAGCAAAACGGAGGGGAAGGGGGGATCGAAACGGAGGGGAGGGGGGAAGCGAAACGGAGGGAGAGGGGGGGATCAAGGCGAATAGGGCAGTAGTAGAAACCTCCCATGCTTGCAGTGCCCTGGGTGGGTGGGACCCCGTGTTGAAAGGACTTGAGCCTAGAAGCTACAGTAGCTAGGCATGAGTAATGTTGAGAGGTTTTAGCTAGGGAGAAAATTGACGAGAGAAAAGAGAGTTGGACTAGAAGAGAGAGGGATACAAGAAGGGTGTTATACCCTCTATAGTAGGATCCAGTATTGTAGCACACCTAACCTATCAAGCATACTCAACTATATATAAATAATACATATAAGTTGATACACACCCTAGCCTTGGTAGGCGCTAGCACACCACACACGCAACACCCCCAATCCCTTGCACCCCAATGTCCTGCAGCAGCTGTGGCATCTACCAGCGGGTCGACCCCTCGGCAATCGAGGCGGCGACGTCAGCGGCGGGTCGCAGCAGTGGCGGCGGCGTTGCCAACTGCGGCGGCGGTGGCGGCAGGGGCTGCAGCACCCGCGGCGGCGGCGGCGGCGACGTCGAGGCACCCGGCGGCGGCAGCAGCGGCGGCGCCCGAGGCATCCGGCGAAGTGGCACACACTGTGACGACGGGGGGGAGGACGGCACGAGACCACCAGCAGCTGCGACAGGGAGGAGGGGGGCGAGTCTTCAGCGAGGCGCCGTGGCTGGCGCGGCGCTGGGTGGCATGCGGGCGAGCTGGCCGGCGCTAAAACCGTGCGCTGGCTGCAGCCATCCATGCGCTGGCGCATCGAAGCCGCCGCGGCAGTATGACGATGCCACGGCAGCGCGGCAGTATGACGAGGCCGCCGCGGCAGCGCGGCGAGGTCGCCATGGTTGCTTGACGAGGTCGCCGCGGCAGCGCGGCGAGGCCGCCGCGGCAGCGCCGCGAGGCCGCCATGGCGGCGCGAATGTGACGGGAGGGGAAAGAGTACACTGCGGAAGCGTGATGACAAGGCGCAGCAGGATCTCCCTGCTCTGAAGCCAAGTTGAAAGGAGTTAAGCCTAGAAGCTAGCTAGACATGAATAATGTTGAGAGGTTTTAGCTAGGGAGAAAAGTGACGAGAGGAAAGAGTGTTGGACTAGAAGACAGAGGGATGCAAGAAGGGTGTTGTACACTCTACAGTAGGATCCAGTATTGTAGCACACCTAACCTATCAAGCCTACACAACTATATGTAAATAATATATATAAGTTGACACCCCACTTCCTTCCAGCATCATGGGCGTGATTCGAATCGAGGACGTTACTCATACGTGATCATCGAACGGCTGAAATTTGTCGAAACGTTCGCAATTGATCCTGACTGTCAAAGTTTGATGGACTTTCAGTTGACCACACGGGCAACTGACAAATTTTTCCTTAAAGGGGGGGGGGGGTGACTACTCTTCAAAAAAAGCTATTATGTCTCTCCTCCATCCAAGGCAAATTAATTGTCATGCGCGGGCTTTGTTGCTAGTACCCTTGGAATTTAGGATTACATTGCCAACTGCAAAACCTACCTTGCTCATGCTGATGACTTGACCATGAGCCTTTTTTATGGGTTGCGGGAGTGTGGGAGGGGGGACATGTGTACAATAGGACTTAGCCGATTTCTTTTTGTTTTGTCACTGCCTATCAAGACAGCCAAATTTTGTGGGTTGTTGGGTGTGTAGGGGGAATGTCTGAGCGACACATGACTTGCCAAATTTTGTCGGTTGCTTGGTGTGTGAGGGTAATGTCTGTACAAGAGGACTTAGCCGATTTTTGTGGGTTGCTTGGTGTGCGAGGGAATGTTTGTACAAGAGTACTTGTAGGTTGCTGTGTGTGGGGGGGAATGTCTCTGAAGATTGGGGACTTCGCCTAAATTTCAGTGTTGTGAGCCACATGGATGTCGCACTCTGGGTTCGTATGGGTTCCTCCCTGAAAACTCAGTATTGGAACAATGCAAACCCTGAAATCCCAAGTGTTCAGAAACTAGCAACCATGAAGGGGCTAGGGATAAAAAAACGCCCAACCTTGAAAATTAAGGGTTGGCCAAAACAATACCCTGTGAAATCAGGGAATCATGATAAAATACCCTGATAACGACAACCCTGTGCCCTCAGATTCGTTTTAGGCCACGCTGATTGATCAGTGTCGATCTCAAAAAACACCTTGCAAATCAATTTTTGGTAGTGGTTTCCTTACTGGTTGGCCTTGGTTCTTTTGTTTTCAAGGCTGATTCATCAAGGTCGGTACAAGCGAACACCCTAAAATAAAAATGCAAAATCAGCATAAGAAGCCTGATAACCATGGGACTATATAGGATGCGCTGGAGCTTGGTGTTGTTGCTGAGTAGACTGATTAGCCGCCAAGGAAGCGAAGTCAGATAGATCGGATAAAGACTAGAAGTAGGAGAATTCGTGGTTGAATTTCCTGTATAAGCAACTGACATAATTATAGGACTTCAGCTTAAAGCCCAAGTCTAGAATTACAAAGGTGTTTAGCAAGAGGGCCCCTCTTGAAAAGGAGCACACTTGAAATTTGCAAAACAGACGTTTTGCAACTCATGAAAGTTTGTAAATCCGTGGGGCAGAGTTGTCTTGGATCGTAAATATTTTTACGTCAACAACTACAGTGTGTGCGCTAGCTCCTGCCCCGTCCTGACCGCCATGGCCCCGGTAGACTCGACGGTTGAGGGACAGTCCACCTCGACTGCTGCGAACCGTGCCCGGGAAAAAATGGACCTGCAAACATTAATGGAGCAGTTGACGAATTTGACAAGCGTCGTCAACGACCTTCGCGACGAGAACCAGCGACTTCGCCAGGCGCAGAAGAGGCATCCAGAGGAGCCAATCAACGATGCACGAAGAGAGGCGGGTGAGCACCAACTGTCGCCAGTGGAGCTGGCATGACTAGCGGCAACAGCCCCGCGCTTGACAAGTGGCCGCGTAAGATATCAGCAACCTGCTCCTTTCGACCCAGCTAATAAAGGCGTGACGGTGCAGTAGTGGATATTCGCCATGAATATCTATTTTAACGTGGTGGGCATCCGAGACCATCAGAAGCGGATCAGCTACGCATTAACACTGTTGCAAGGGGCCGCCCTACAGTAGTGGAAGATCATCGTCGACTCAGTGGCAACTCGCAAAGAAGGACAGCACGAGTGGTCCGAAGAATTCGACGACGAAGACGAGGCATATCTGTTGTTCGAAGCGACCCACATTTGCACGTGGGCAACGTGGTGCACAGAGCTTTGCAAGTGGTTTGAGCACGCTCCTAACTCAGACAAAGCACGCGAAACTTTACGCATGTGGAAGCAGCTGGGATCTGTGTCCGAGTACACCGCGTCGTTCCTGACGTTGGTGGACAGATGTGGCTACATGCACAAGTTGGAGAAGGTCGACAGGTACATGGGCGGCTTGAAGCCTGAAATGCAGTACCAGATAAAACTGCAACGCCCCGCGAAGCAGTGCGAAGCAGTTACAAGACTACATCCAGCTTGCCAAAGCCGCTGATACGATCACGAAGCCGAGGACGAACTTCTACGACTTAGGTCGCCCTCGAGAACAGTACCAGCGCGCCACAATAAAAGGGGTGGACGCAGTGGATATTGATGCAGTTGCTCCGCGAAATATGGGGCTATGCTACCACTGTGGCCGGCCGAGTCACATTCAACGCAACTGCCAAGAATTCATAGCCCTCCAGAATTCTATGGGGAAGAAGCTGGAGGAGCGACCGGGAAATGGGTCGCGTCAGTAAGTACCAGGCCCCTTACTAAAGGGCAGGCTTCTTTGCCCGAGCCACATAGTCCCCACCGGGTCGTGATCCCGATTGCTGCAATCGACCGGACACGGACGAATAAGCGGAACAAAATTGCTGATCACCCTGTGTTGGTGGAGGGTAAAGTCAACGGGGTGTTATTGAAAATTTTCGTCGATGGAGGCGCGAGTGACAGTTTCATCCAACTGGACAGGGCTAAGAAGTCGGGGATACCCTTACTCAAGTGTCTACCCGAAATCGACGCCCGACTGGTGGACGAAACACCGCTGGCAATACGGGAACGCTTGGAGAACGTCGGTTTTACTTGTGGGGATCATGTAAAATTTCGGGTGGGACTTCTGGCAACTACTCTCGACGGGTGCGACGTACTGCTGGGACGCGATTGGTTGGGACCCGAAGATTGACTGTACGACAGGCAGCTGCAGCATCAAGCTCGATGGGATTTCCCGCGAGCTGCCCAAGTGGACGGGGCCTCGCATGCAAAGCACCTCAGTCCACGCGATCACTTTCAAACGTGCGATGAAAGCTGGAGCTGCAGTGTACGTCGTTGATCTTCGCAAGGTGACATTGACGGTCGAGACCGAAGATATCGAGAAGCTGTGCAAGGCTGTCCCTCCGGACTTAGCGGACCTGATTCGAAAATACCCAAAGATTTTCCCGGACGACCTGCCAGCGGGACTCCCGCCGAGCCAACCAAAGGACCATAGAATCGAGCTGGAACCAGGCGCCCAACCGACGGTACAGCGCCAATTTCAGCTCAGTCAACCAGAACTGGCAGAATTGCAGCAGCAGCTGGATTACCTTCTGACAAAGGGATTTATCCGGCCCAGCACTTCACCACATGCCGCCCTAATACTGTTCACACCGAAGAAGGATAGAGGATTCTGAATGTGTATCGACTACCGCGTGCTCAACTGGATCACCATCAAGTCGCGTTACCTGATCCCGCGAGCCGACGAACTTTTCGACCAACTTTACAGGGCCAAGTTTTTCTCAAAAATTGACTTACGAGGAGGTTACCACCAGATTTGCGTCGCAGCTGAGGATTGTCACAAGACGGCGTTTTGCACCCGCTACGACAGCTACGAGTACCTGGTGATGCCTTTTGGCCTCACGAACGCACCCTCGACCTTCCAAATAACCATGAATGGATTTTTTAGGGAACTCTTGGACAAATGCGTCATCATCTACCTCGACGATATAATAATCTACAACCGCAGCAGAGAGCAGCACTTACAGTATCTTGATGCAGTCTTTATGCTGCTGCACAAGAATCGCCTCATCACCAAAGGGTCTAAGTGCGACTTTCTTAAGCAGGTGGAATTTCTAGGCCACATCGTCTCTACCGAAGGAGTGAAAATCGACCCTAAGAAAATCAAGACCATACGGGAATGGAAGCCGCCAAGCAATATCAAGGAGCGACTTAAGGATCACGATTGTTTTTGGTGGGGAGACAAGCAGCAAGCTGCATTTGACCAACTGAAGATTGCCCTCACGTCGCCGCCCGTCCTTCACATCTCCGATCCCGACCGTCCATTTGAAGTCATCACCGATGCCAGCGACTTCGCCATCGGTGCAGTTCTCCTACAGGATTGACCCCTTCTTCCGCTCCGCCATTCATCAACAGCATACCACCGCTACCGGACACTATTTTAATAAGCGCGACACTTTCCGCATATGGGTTCCCGGCTACGATTTACTTCGTACCCTTCTAATCCAAGAATCCTACGACAACCCTACCTTTGGGCATTTCGGAGTCGACAAAACCATGAAGACGTTGCAGCGTAATTATTACTGGCTGAACATGGCCGACGACATGCGCAAGTACGTGTCCTCCTGCACCACCTGCCAGATCATGAAATCATCCCATCAGCGAGCATCCGGACTACTACAGCCATTGGATCCGCCCGACAGACCCTGGCAACATGTCACGATGGACTACGTGACAGGACTGCCGGCCGGTCCCAGCGAAAATGACGCCATCCTCGTGGTCGTCAACCGACTCACAGGAATGGTGCACTTCATCGTCTGCCAACAGAAAATTACAGCTGAGCAAACTGCCCAACTGTTCATCGCCAATGTCATCCGACTGCCCGGACTGCCCACCGCCATTATTTCCGACCGAGACCCGAAATTCACATCAAATTTCTGGCGCCACCTATGGGACCAATTCGGCACCAAACTACAGTTTTCCTCCGCCTACCACCCACAGACCGACAGGCAGACTGAACGAGTCAACTAAACTAGGGAGCGACTTATTCGGACTACCTGTACTGACCTACAGACATGGGAGAAATTGTTCAAATTATATAAGTTATAATTTAATATAGGCTTGGTAGGTTGTTACTGAACCTTTCTGTAGGGGGTACAAACCCCTCCTTGTACTCCCCTCTCTTCCTAATCCAACCCTCTTCTCTCTCGACACTCTCGTCTACCTCCTAGCTAAACCCCGCCGCCACATTCATGGCGGCCTTGTTCCTGCCTAGTATCCTAGCCTAGAGCTACTTTAACATGGTATTAGAGCAGGCCGTTTCCGGTCCTGCCTTCCACGCTTCCGCCTCGTCCTTGTCTTACGTTTCACTTCGTACCGTGCCGCTGATGGCGGCCTTTCGTTTTCCTGCCGCCGTGGCGGCCTTGCCTTTCCGTGCCGCCGTGGCGACTTCTCTGAGATGCCGCGGCGGCTTAGTCGAGCTACAATCGCACCTCCGCCTCGCCGCCGCGGCATCGACGTCGCGCTGTGGCGGCGTCTTTTGGCTGCCGTGGCGGCGTCATCGGGCGACAGCCGGCCACGCATCGTCAATGATGCCGCCGGACCTGCCGCCCGCTCTGCAGCCGCCGGCGTGATGCTGGACTACGCCCCGCGCCCCTCTCCCCCCCCCCCCCCCGGCCCCCTTCCCCCCTCCTTCCCCTGCTTCCCCCCCCTTCCTTGCTGCAGCCAACGACTGCCTCACGCGGGCCCTCCCCACTGCCGAGGTGACTGGACATGCCGTCGAGAGGGCGGGGGCCGCTGCACCAGCCGCTGACGTCCAAGCCGCCGCTGCCATTGCTGTTGCCGCGGGCCGGGCGCCGCCGCACGCCGCCACCGGCGCCGCTGTCGTCAATGTCGCTGCTGCCGCCATAGCCATCCCACGGACAGTGGGAGCTGCCCGCTTCTGGAGTCGTTGTGTCTCCTGCTGGGAATGGGGGTGCTGGGCTAGGGGGTGTGGGTGTGGGGGTGTGAGTGGGCTTGACACTACCAAGCCTAGGGGGTGTGTTCAAATTATATAAGTTATAATTTAATATAGGCTTGGTAGGTTGTTACTGAACCTTTCTGTAGGGGGTACAAACCCCTCCTTGTACTCCCCTCTCTTCCTAATCCAACCCTCTTCTCTCTCGACACTCTCGTCTACCTCCTAGCTAAACCCCGCCGCCACATTCATGGCGGCCTTGTTCCTGCCTAGTATCCTAGCCTAGAGCTACTTTAACAGAAATCCCTTCCGCTATTGGAATTTGCGTATAATGACGCGCCTTCCGCCACAACTCATCAATCTCCATTTTTCCTCAATTACGCACAGGACCCTCTACACCAAACATCGAGACCCCCGTGCCCCGGTCCCAGCGATTTGCTAAAGACGTGCTCGCAGCCTGAAAAAAAGCAGCTGAAGCAATCCGGAAAGCCAACTTGGTCGCACGCCGACAAGCTGATCGACATCGACGTGACGTCACTTACAAAGTGGGAGATCTCGTACTACTCGACACTTTCAATTTGTGTCTGTCGATCCCCAGCAAACTCCGACCCCGATTCTGTGGTCCCTTTCAAGTGACCAATATGATGACACCTGTCACCGCTCACCTCTGACTCCTGGCGGATTGGCGTCACTACCCGGCGCTCCCTGTCAGCCTCTTTTGACCCTACATTCCCAGATCGTCGGATTTAGCACGTATTGTACCGCAGTTGACACCACTGCAGGAACCGATGACCGAGCCCTTGAAGATTCTCGGCCATCGAGTCACAACGCAGCAGAACCGACGAACGGTGGATTTCCTCGTCCGATGGCGCGATCGGATGTCTGAGGATTACAGCTGGGTGCCCTTCGCTGACATAGAATTATACCCGATTCTAACAGCATATTATCAGTGTCGGAATGTTTCCGATGCCCGCGGTCTTGTTTAGGAGGGGGGGTAGTGTAAGGAATTTCCATTCCTTACTGAATCATACACTAGCGCGTACACCCGAACTCCTCGACTCGTCACGTTCGGCCTCATTTGTCGGCCCAACCCTCTCCCCAGTCGCGTCCGGCACTGTCGCCACATTGCCGAACCTACCCACGTTCCGAGGTTATCGCCCTCACACGCCAGCCCCTATATAACCTCGTGCCTTCATTGTAATAGCGACCTTGTACTCTCACGTAATATTTCATTGACACTTCCTATATTATAACACCGAAAGTGGCGTGCACCACATGGCCCCTGCGACTACGACTTGGATGAAACGAGATTGCACATAAAAACGTGCGCCAAGGCAAGCGACTAAGCAAGGGTGACCTTAGAACGGGAGGAAGGTGTGTTCAGGATCGCAAATGTAGGACTTTGTGACGCGACGAGGTGATGCGCCAGCAACGACAGATTGGAGATACGAGGAAAGCAAAGCAGGCTAGCACGAAACCAGGCCGAGATTTGCACGACTCGAGCTGGCGGAAACAACCCCCCAAAACAACTACCACACCAAACATGGAAGTACAGGTTTGCGTAAAAAATAACAGCCAAGTGAGAATGCACTGTGTGCATATGCCTATCTATTGCGACTAGTGCCAACAAGGTGCCTACGAAGGAAAACCCAGCTGCACTGTATTTATTAGACTACTGCAGCCAGGGGAGTCGCACAAACCCACAAAGCGATTGACGCGTACGCGATGAGTCACGGCAGTGCTATAATGAAGACCAATGATAACAAAAGATAGTAAGTGATAGCATAGCTTAGGGCAGCCCACCCCTCAAAAGTTGCAGGGAAAACGGCCCGTTTTGCGTAGAAGCGACCATAACAGAGTCGCGAGCCGGGTAACGAAAGCGCAACAGGCAGGGTGGTGGAACTCAGTGAAACCGCGAGGAACCCCGAAGCAGGAACAAAGGGAGCCCACGGGCAGACAAGCCGACCGCCGCGCTAGCCCGCACCAAAGGACACGCGAGGGAAGGGGCGCGGGCATTTACGACAGTTACACTCCCGGGCATCGAAACCAATGTGAGAAACGCAGAGCATCGGGCGACGTGTGTGAGCGGCCGGAGAGGGAGGGGTGGCTAGAGAAAAAGGGGAAGGGATGAAGGTGGCACGCAGCTGGAGGATCAAGGGAGGGACGTGGCATGTGGCAAAAAAGGGTGAGCGAGAATACGGGAGAGAAAGGAACCGAGTGAGGGAAAGTAGGGCAACACAAGGAAAAGTGGGAGTGAGGGAAGAAGAGGACAGAATTCTGATGAGGAGAGGGGCAGAGGGAGAGACGGGAGACAGGAGGGATTTGGGGGTAGAAATGCGAGTGACTGTAGATCGTGACATGCAGCGAGAAGTGGCGAGGGAAGGTGGCGCCGGAACTAGGAAAGAGGGGAGGGAAGTGGAGCAGCTTGCGGGAGATAGGGGGGAAAGGCTTTGAGATAGACGGAAACTGAGAGTAGCGGAGGAGGGAAAGTATGGGAGAGGGGGGGGGGGGGGGGAGAGGGGGAGAGAGAGGATGGTGGCATGGAGGGTGTAAAAAGTGGAGGAGGGGTAAGGCAGCTAGAGGAAAAAGAACGAGATCGGGAAGTTGGTAGTGGTTGCTGGGAGGTGGAGTGGGATGTGGTTGAGATTATCACAGGGGAGAGTGGGAGATGTGGGGGAGGCAGAGTGATTATAAAAAGAGGATGTGATAGGAGGATGGGACCACAGGAGAAGGGGGTGTGGGTGGCGAGGGTGGGTGATTGTGGGGTGACGAGGGGTGTTGGTGCGGTGTGCATAATGGGAGGATGGGAGATATGGGGGCCGGTGTGAAAATGATGGGAGAGGGCAGAGTGTGGGGGCGGGTTGAGGGTTGTGTGGGAAGGCAGCTTCAAGGTAAGGTGAGGAGATGGGGCGGTAAGGGGAGGGGCGACTACAGGGGGCTGTGTGGTTGTGGAGTCGGATGTGGTTGAGATTAGAAGAGGGTGAGTGGAAGATTAGGGGGGATGGAGAAAGGGTGTGGTGATAATAAGGAGGAGTAAAAGGGTGGCTCCGGCGAAGGGTGGATGGAAGAGACGGCAAGGGGGCAACAAGGGGGAGGCAGAGTAGGGTGACAGCACGTAAGGAAGGGGGGCAGGCTAATGGACCAATAGAACGGGATACATGATGGTGACTGGAGGAAAGGGTTTAAGTATAGAAGGGCAACAGGAGCATCAGGCAGAGGGAGGGAAGGGATAAGAGGAGAGGAGGGGACATAGATAAGAAGGTTTCGGCGACGGTGAGGGTTTAGTTAAACAAGCGGTGATAGGGGGGAGCTGGGGGAGGGGGAAGTGCCAGTCTTGAGGAGTGTAGGGGGAAGAGAAGGGGGTGGGATGGTGCTGGCGAAATCAGAGAGGGGGGGGGAGGGAGAGGGAGAAATCAGAGAGGGGGGAGGGAGGGAGAGGGAGAAATCAAAGAGGGGGCCGGGATGGAGAGGGCGAAACCAAAGAGGGGGGAGAAATGGGTTTGGAGAAATCAGTGCACCCAGAGGGATGGAGAGGTAGAAATCTTAGTTGCTACTAACGCGTTTAGCATTTGAACGCCAGCGTTTGGAGCGCTATCATTTGAACGTTAAACGCTCAGCAGCGTTTATGTGAACGCTAGGCAAACGCATGCTCGGGCAGGGGCAAAAGTTTTGCCCGGGCAAGGGTGAAAAGAAACCAGATGGGGAGGGGGGAAACGTGGGAGTTCTGCCAGCAAGCATTTTGTCATTGGAAAAGAAGTGCTGAAACAATTAAGCATGCATCCCCATATGCTAAGAGGGGTCGTCATGGGCGCCCGCCCTTAACATACGGGATGGAGAGGGCGATACACTGCGAGGGAAGGGTAAACTTCCATCATATCATGCTACGCTGCGCCACATTGGCGGCGGCCGGGACACCGATGACTGCACAAGAGGTGGCTGCGGAGATTGCCATTTGCGCCGAGCATTGGGCGAGTGTTCATTCCAAGTGCGAACGACATGGCATCACGCCTAAACTCATTACGGATGCACACAGTTTACAAATCCGGGGGGAAGACACACATTGCCTTCCAACAGTAGCTAATGCGGCAATATAGTGCCGAGAAGATGGCAGCTTTTATCACCGGGGTCTCTAGTTGGTTGAAAGAGTCCTTTCATTCGGTCATATGCAAATATGCACCAAAGCGTATTCGTTTCCAAGGAAGCATGGAGGCTTGCATAGCACTTTCCATCATCCACTGGAACAACACGGTCGAGCGAGAGTTCAAGCGCCACATAACACGGCTTCGGCGTGTCACAAGGGTGAAGAGGGGCTGGCGGGATCGCGTCCTAGGGCCGATGAACTGGCGGTGGGCGGATGACATACTAGGCGCATGGCGGACAACCAATGCGGATATGCCGATGGCATTTATGGCCCAGCGAGTCTGATCCCCTCCCACTCGACGCAGGGTAAGCCTATTGGTAGGGGCATGGTGGAATTTGCCCAAGGTTGCCGAGCCACGTTGTTAGCCCAAACACATCTTTTCTCCTTCTCTCCATCCCACCCCACCCCACTGTGTGTTGTGCCCCTTCTCACAGAGAACGATAGAGGGGCGGTGAGAAGGCCTTTCGTTGCCCATCGATGGGTTGATGACGCCACCCTACACTAGTCAACGCCACCCAGGTGCCCACAATGGAGCTAATGCATTGTTGCTGTGCATCCCAATTTCAGCACCCTTTTTCCTTTCCCACCTATCACCTCTCCCCCCCACCATGCATATCTGTTTCCTCCACCAGAATCCTTACCCGCCTCTCCCCCATACTCATGCAATACATTTCTGTTTCCTCCCCCAGTTTCCTTTCCCACCTCTCACCTCTCAATCCCACCATGCATCTCTGCTGCCTCCCCCAATTTCCTTTCCCACCTCTCACCTCTCATTCCCACCATGCATCTCTGTTTCCTCCCCCACTTTCCATCACCACCTCTCACCTCTCAATCCCACCATGCATCTTTGTTTCCTCCCCCATTTCCTTTCCCACCTATCACCTCTCAATCCCCGCATGCATCTCGGTTCCTCCCCCTGTTTCCCTCTCTCCCACCTCACACCTCTCACACCCACCACGCATTTCTGTTTCCACCATGCTTTCCTCCCCCATCTCTCAACCCACGCATTTGCATTGCATCCCTGTTTCTCTCCAAGTTTCCCTTCCCTCGTCTCACCTCTCGCTCCC